GGAAAAAAAGAGGCTGTGAATTTGGACGGTCTAGCCTCCCCTCCTTACGTCAAGTCACCTAGCAACTGTGACGAYGCTAAACAAGCAAACTTAAATCAAAATTAGAAAAATATCAATACATTAGCATTATTAATATCACAAAACTATAAAATTAACTTAAAGGTATCATTTGAGGAACTAATTGACCTGCTGTAGCTGCATGTTTATTTCACGTTTTTTTATGACAAAAATAATATTTAAAAACATGTCCATACAAATGATAAAAGTATTAGAATTACAACCGCTAAATTTTTAAATCACCATATTTTTATTTAAAACGTATTCTTTTCTCTCGCTTCGTCCGCCATTACTAACATAAAAAAAATCTCTGGTCGGGCCGCAATGCATTATGGGATACGCTGGGCCGGGAAGGATCCATCAGACCTGTCCTTCGATTCTGTCCAAAAGAAGGACGTATTTGTCGGCTGCATCGGAGGAGTCTTTGTCGCGGGGCTGTGACGAATGCAGCCGACAAATTCGGCCTTCGGAGGACCTGGTCTGMCGTTTTGGACACAGCACCCGGCAAGATGCAACTTTTCTACAGCAGGAGGGGGACATTTTGACGATTTATTCTCTCTTTACGTGTTTTAAAACACCATATTTCTTCATTTATTTTCAGAATATTTTGAATAAATGGCCCTATAAAAAAATAAAAGAAATTGTTTACCTGCCCGGTCGGGCAGGCATTGGGACACACCCACCTGCCCGACCATGGGTTTTACCTGCCCCGGGCAGTCGGGCAATAGGATTTGTCGAACCCTGCTTTAAGTCATATCACCATTACTGAAACGCTTTCTATCACGATATATAATCACTAGGGATGGATGATATGTTATCATGTGTGATATACTGTCAAAGAAATTCACCGAGGTAGTAATTTATCATCTCGCAATAAAAACAATAAAATCTTGCCACGTATACAGTTAAGATGCTGGTCTTTTTAACTAAAGATCTAAAGGTGTAAAGCATATACAGATGTTCCTGCCAGCCTTATTTCTGCATTCTTTTACATGTTCGTTGTACCACTTTGTGATTTTTATAAGCCGAGTTATTTTTTGCCGTTTACACCATTTAAAAAAAAGTCAAATTTGTTCTCAAATGTCAGACTTGTTTCATGGGTGTCAGTTTTGCAACACAGGTGTACTACTTGAACTTAATATAGTTTAGTGCCTTTTAGTATTATTTTAGGGCTCTTAAGACAGAATGTACTGATAGATTTAAAATACAAAAGATTATCTCTCTCTCTCTCTCTCTCTCTCTCTCTCTCTCTCTCTCTCTCT